TGGGAGGCCGTTTTTATATTTTATGGAATATATCTGTTATTTATGTTTGAAGAAAAAAATTGTTCAAATAAAAGTTACTTCTAATATTATTATCTATAATTTTTGCTTTATGTAAAAATTTCCTGAAATGGTCCGTATTCGAAAAATTTGACAAAATGTGCAAAATTCTGATTTTTATGAAAATTGTTGAAATAAAAGTTGTTTGCGATTTCGATCTCTATAATATTTGTTTATACATGATTTTTTTAAAATGGACCGTAATGGAAAAATTGTAGGAAAAGTGCTAAATTTAAATTTTTCAGTATTTTCATTTTCAATGAATATCTATAGAAAAATGTTTCGCGGTAGATGTATGTGGACAATGTATATATTTAGTTTATCCTCTAAACATTTATAGAGATGCTGCAATAGATTGTACAAAATAACCGGAAAAAGCCTGTAATACCTAGATAGGAAAGTCATGTGTTGGACACATCAGATTTTTTAATATGTTCAACTGGATAACATTATAATCTCCAATTAAGGATTGTCCGACACATTTTGTGGGGAATAACGTATGTCAGACATTTTCTAAGTCACAAAATAATATGTTATTCGGATGGTTATTGAACGATAATATTCAAACAGCCTTAATTATCCCCAGGGGTCTACTAACATCTAAGCAGACACAGTAAAAAGCCAGGTATTATTATCTTCTGTTTGATTTCTACAATGTCAATTGTACTTAAGAGGTCATTTAGCTCAAATTGCTGATACTGCGTGGATTTATAAATTGACCAGGACAAATGAAATCAGAGTAGCTTGACTGGTTCGCGGGCCAAAGTCTACTTGACGACAAAATGAAAGAGACTATAATACGATAACGACAAGAAAATGTTGAGCACCACCAAGTTTTCGAGTAACTTGGAAAGCTTATCTGATTTGATATGCCCTGTTTAATTGAGTAAGTTTCTGGTAATAAAAGTTATCTGTATGAGTTCTGGCAAATAAAAGAAAGTGAGAAACTTTAATACATTTAATAAAAAAAAATTAAAAGAGTGAATTTATACAATATAAAAATAATAATTAATTAGTAAACGTGAAAAAAAAATGAATTAAAATTGACTGATAGATAAAAAAATGAATTGAATAAAGTAGAATATGTATTTAATAGGTATAATAGTCTCGACCATTGGCATTCTAATACGGTACTTCCCTGTCGTATGTCGCGGACAATCCGCCTTTACTTAGATACTTGGAGCTTGGAGCTCGCACGAGGAACTCAGAACTTGGAGAAACTACGTAACTCTGAGCTTCTTGGAAAAACTATGTAACTCAAACATGGATTTTAAAGCTTGGACTTTAAAGCTTGGAGTTTCTTGGAGCCCATAGCTTCCAGGAGCAACTACGTAACTTGGACTTCTTGTTTCTTAGAGCTTCTAGGAGCAACTACGTAACTCGGAATTTCTTGACTTCTTGGAGCCACTACAGGTTTAGAAATAAAAAGATCCTCAGTAACAGTAAAAGTACATCTACGTGCCAGTTTGGAAATCTAACGGACTTATACATAGACGGAACAAATATTAAAGTTACATCGTCTGAACAAAATATAAAATATTTATAGGACCAAAATAAGTTATAACAATAAGTTTTACATTATCTAAACAAAATATGAATTATTTATAACATCAAAATAAGTTAAGAGCCATAGATTTACGTTTAAACTGTATTTCCAGACTGACTTGTAATTCAAATATTTAGTTGCTTCCCCGCGTATATATCAAAGTGTCAAAGAAAGCTTAAAAATACTATTAGTCAGGTTAGCTATAATCTATATAAAATAAAATAAAACAGTAATAAAAACCAGCATGATGGTAATAAAAAAAAGCAAATGGCCAATCCTTTCGGTTTTCCAAAGAAATCCAGCAAAATGTTAAAATATAAGGTGAAAGAAACATTACCTGAACTCGATAAACCAAAAAGAATGATCCAGGCGACAGCAGCGGTGTTTTATAGTTCACTAGCGTGAATTTAGAAAAACTAATGCGCGTACATTGTACTTTGTAAAAATAGAGAATCGAAGCGAGTGGTGGTCGTTCAAGTTGTGTTACGAGGGGTTATGGAGAAGTTGTGAAAAATAAATTTAAAATAAATTTAAAATTAATTTCACGTAACACCCTCCCATCACCAAAAAAAAAAAAATTTAGGACGTACAGGGAAATTTTTTGTTAAACTCTCCTACCCAATAAGTGTCGAGGCCAGGTGATAAATAACAAAGCCACCCATGATTTTAAACTTTTAAGGAAAAGAGAAAGAAAATAATTTTAGAATCAAGTCCAAGGATTAACAAAACCTTAGCAAATTTAGTATTTGTCCAACTAGAAATCATAATAGCTACCCAACAAAAAAAAAACAAATTTAGGATCGAGTTTAAGGACTAAAAAGCCCTAGCAAATTGTAGTATTTGCCAAACTAAAATCTACAATATTTATCCCCCAAAAAATTTTAGGATCAAGTCCAAAGACTAACAAGCTCTAGCAAATTGTAGTATTTGCCAAACTAAAAATACACAAGGTAGTCAAGATATGAACTTGGTTAAACAAACAAAGAGAAAAGTTATCAAAGCAAAAAAAATTAGGAATTAATTCCAAGGACCACCAAGAATGCCCTAGTAAATTATAGCATCTACCAAGCTAAACACCACGATAAATATAAAATAACCCCCCTTAAACTAAACTAATGATAACTTTAATTGAGAGGCTGATCAAAGGCTCTCCTCTGATCATCTTAAGGTCAGGCAAGACCACCCATTTCCGAAATGCTCCATAGAGTGTTTCCTGATGATGTTGGAAACACATATGTTAAAGGTGCGTGAACTCAGACGCAGTCACCTCGTCCCTTAACCTATGTCTCGTTCCTGAAATAGGCAATCCGTCTATTTAGGAATCACAGAGTCAAGACACCACTCAGCTCCTTAATTGCCAGCAATAGGAAAGCTGCTAACCGGTAAAGATATAGCTCCTACGGGCTGAAACAGTAAATTGAAAATTAACCGGTATAAGTTACAAAAGTCAAATCCAGTATAAAGAAAAAAGCGTAAAAACCGGAGGATTTAAAAAGATGGCCCGGAAAGATAAACGCCACCCACATTTCAAAGACAAATACGAAGTTAACTATCAAAGATAACTGCAGCCACTCAAGTCCAGTATAGAGGTTTCACGGATGGAAAGGTACAACCCCATTGAAGTACTCTCATTTGAACCCTCGTTATCCTAGGGCCGAACTGAAATTCAAATGGAAATATTTAATACTCTATAAGATACAGCAAAAAGGGCAGACTTTTAAATAATAAAAATGCAAAAATAAAAAAATATAAGAAGGTAGAACTAGGATAATGGTTTCTCAAGCAGTCAACAGATCTGACTAGTTAAAGTCATTTTGCAGAGATACATGCCGAGGAAGGAAGAAAAGAAGAAGAGAAAGATAATTAACCACCCGCTGTCATCAAGTACAGGGGAGTTAAGAGTCACAATCGATAATAGCGATATCTTAACCTTTAAGTTATCAATCAAAAAGTTACACAGATATAACTCAAAGGTTATAAAGATATTGAGCTAAGCGTCATAATCGGTAAGAAAGATATCAGAAATATCATAATTGGTAATAATGATATCAAAGATATTATAACTTTGAGTTATCAGAGTTTATCACAGTTATCAGATGTCATAACTCAAAAGTTACATAGATATAATTCATTTATTATAAAGATAATCGCTAATAAGGTATCATAACTTTGAGTGATCCAAAGTTACAAGACATTGTAATCCAAAAGGTTACAAAGATATAACTTAAAGTTATCAAGATATAAGTCAAATCCAGGAAAAAATAAAGTGTTGTTCCCTAACAACCGGAATACACTTACACAACCAACAACCTAACACACAAAAAAAACTTAAGACATTCATACTTCTGTCTTTGCGCCAAACAACCCAAATTAAAATTTTATTTCCAATTAAACATTGTTCATCCAAATGAACAGAGATAGGTCTACCTGACCATAAGAAAATGAAGATAATAGGATAACAAGGATGATTTTACATATCATCTCCAAGTTAGCCTTCTACAATAAGATCCTGATAACACATAAAGATACGGTGAAGATAAAAAATAAGATACACGTGTTATTTTGATAACACATTAGTATACGGTAAAGATTAGAGATAAGATACGGTATAGCCCGTTTAAAAAAAAACACCTATAATAGCGTCTACTCATGGAAACAGATTCATAGTATTTTTACAAGGATCGCCATCAATCATGGTTTCTCTTAAGAAGATAAAGGAAAAGATATTTTTCAATGAATTTATTTTTCCTTGGTAGCGAAAAATAAACCCTCAAATTAATATTTACAGTAGAAAGCTATGTCAACTTCCAACAAATTTTAAGAGCTTGGCCCCCAAATTGCTATTTACAAATATACAGATATATTATTTGGCAAAGATAACAGAAATACAAAATAACAAAGGTCAAATCCTAACCCTAAATACATTCTCACGATACTAAATCTAAGAGAGGGAAGAAAAAAAGTGTATCGCCCTACGACGCGCGTAGGTACGATCAGAAAATTCCCAACGTTTTCTTCTGTTTCTAGGCTTCGACTTGCAAGTACGTTAGTCAAGCTCACACTGAAAACATTTGAATCATGAAGGTTTTGAACTCACAGCTCTGCGAGAGGGGTTCAAGCACAATAACTTGGTGGGCTCACACAGGCTGAAACTGAAAGAACAAAAAGTTGTTGAGAAAAATTTAAAATGAAAGATTCCTTTAGTCGCTTTCTACGACAGGCTGGTTCGGCCGTGGTGTTATTCTCTTTTACCGGAAGCACCACACGGGGATGGAAGAAATGCAAGCGAAAGAGCATTATTCGTGCATATGAGTCCTAGTATTAGACTTAGTATTAGTCCTATTATTAGTCCTAGTATTAGTCCTAGTATTAGTCCTAGTATTAGTCCTAGTATTAGTCCTAGTATTAGTCCTAGTATTAGTCCTAGTATTAGTCCTAGTATTAGTCCTAGTATTAGTCCTAGTATTAGTCCTAGTATTAGTCCTAGTATTAGTCCTAGTATTAGTCCTAGTATTAGTCCTAGTATAAGTCCTAGTATTAGTCCTAGTATTCGTCCTAGTATTAGTCCTAGTATTAGTCCTATTATTAGTCCTAGTATTAGTCCTAGTATTAATCCTAGTATTAGTCCTAATATTAGTCCTAGTATTAGTCCTAGTATTAGTTCTAGTATTAGTCCTAGTATTAGTCCTAGTATTAGTCCTAGTATTAGTCCTAGTATTAGTCCTAGTATTAGTCCTAGTATTAGTCCTAGTATTAGTCCTAGTATTAGTCCTAGTATTAGTCCTAGTATTATTCCTAGTATTAGTCCTAGTATTAGTCCTAATATTAGTACTAGTATTAGTCCTAGTATTAGTCCTTGTATTAGTCCTAGTATTAGTCCTAGTATTAGTCCTAGTATTAGTCCTAGTATTAGTCCTAGTATTAGTCCTAGTATTAGTCCTAGTATTAGTCCTAGTATTAGTCCTAGTATTAGTCCTAGTATTAGTCCTAGTATTAGTCCTAGTATAAGTCCTAGTATTAGTCCTAGTATTAGTCCTAGTATTAGTCCTAGTATTAGTCCTAGTATTAGTCCTAGTATTAGTCCTAGTATTAGTCCTAGTATTAGTCCTAGTATTAGTCCTAGTATTAGTCCTAGTATTAGTCCTAGTATTAGTCCTAGTATTAGTCCTAGTATTAGTCCTAGTATTAGTCCTAGTATTAGTCCTAGTATTAGTCCTAGTATTATTCCTAGTATTATTCCTAGTATTAGTCCTAGTATTAGTCCTAGTATAAGTCCTAATATTAGTACTAGTATTAGTCCTAGTATTAATCCTAGTATTATTCCTAGTATTAGTCCTGGTATTATTCCTAGTATTAGTCCTAGTATTAGTCCTAATATTAGTCCTAGTATTAGTCCTAGTATTATTCCTAATATTAGTCCCAGTATAAGTCCTAATATTAGTCGAGTTTATGAGTGGTCAATAAGAAATTGAAATAGTGGCTAAACACTTACCATGACACGGGCTAAAAAAAAACAAAGTCTTCGCCTCCCTTTCAACTCCTATTATATTTTAATTTTTTCGCTTCATAAAAAACGTTTTTCAGCTCTTTAAAGTCCAATAATATTTTCGTGTTATTCTAATTTAACATTAGGCAACTACGGGAAAAATAGCGAATTATTTTAAATGTATTTTTTTACGTTCACGTTTCTCCAAGGTGATCCGGTCAAGAGAATCATTAAATATTGATTTATGTTTTTATTTGAGCAGCGGTTTATAAATTGTTAGGTAAAGGTAATGAATATTTTATGCTCTGTGGGTTATATTTTGTGTGTGCATAGTAACCCAAAATACTCTAAATTCTTCAGACAAACAAATTAGACCATGTATATATGAAAAGTTGGAAGTTCAAAAACTCCAGAAGTGGCTGAAATGGACGGAATATCAAATCTATGGAGTTTTCAAAATAAAACCCAACGAATTTTATTCAAGAGGTAAGTATATCTTGAAACTTTTTCTCTGGCGGAGGTCTCACGATATGCTTGAAGTCCAACCATTAAAAACTTTCAGATTCCTAAGAATGTTAAAAAGATGTTTGTGAAGTTTGTAAATATGTTAATTCAAAAACAGGAATTCTGGTTGTTGAACGCAAAATTTATAAACTGGATTTTGATTAACTTGCAGGATTCATTGTATAATTAATTAGTTATTCTTATCCAAAATGACCTTTTTATGTCGCAAATTTTTTATTCTTAAATGAAATCACCTAAGATATCGAAACAGTAAGAAAATAATATCAACTAAACAAAAAATATCAAATCGATTAAAAACGTTTAGGTTAATTTGTGCCACTGGTCGTTATGAAATAAGCCAAGCTTAAAATGACACTTTTCCATTATTAAGGTCATTTTAAGCGTCGCTTATTTCTTAACTACTGGTGGGCTAAATGGCCCTTATTCATTTATGTATAAATCGTAATTAATAAATTGTATTTGTTTATTCAATAATTGCTTTTCCTTTGAGATACAAAGGTTTTTATATAAGTTCGTTATTCAGGATTAATTTTGACCTCATCTGACTGCAAAAAGTGAAACGACGTGTTTTTTGCTTGCTTTTTGTAGTTACGTACAGGTGAGGGTTGCAACGTTGCCTTGTTCCGTTCCAGTGCAAATTTGCCTTGTGATAAAATGTTAGTTTCAAAACACGTATAAAGAGATTTTTACAAGCTCAGTGAAATTTAATATCAAACATTACTTACCTTTAAAAATTAAAAGAAATAAATGAGCACATTGACCATATTTTTCTCAGTCGTGAAGCAATAGTAAATGAAATTTAAAAATCTAATGCGAAATCGTTTGGTTAACTGTACTCCCACTTCAAGAAAATTCCCTTTCTTTGGAATATTGTGTGCGGCTATAATTGAATTTAATTTAATCAAAAACTATTTATACAGGAGGGCACATATTTAAAATAACATTTTTAATTGGACTTTTAAAATGTTACACCCCCGATAACCGATTTAGGAAAATTTGAATAAAAGGTCCTTTGGTCAGAAGATTTCAGAGGCCATTTACTACTGCATGTTCCGCTCAAAATGCGATCCTGGAACTTATTAATAACGACCGCATTCTGAACCATCTTCTTGCTACCACACTTTGTTAAAATGTACATCAGGAATATTTTGAGATCCTTCTGTAAGAGGCGAATGTACATTTTAGCATTCAAATATACCTCGATAAAAACTGGACCTGGAATACCTGACCTGGCATATCTGACCTGCTCTTGACTTTTTGGCGACATTGACTGGGAGTCACAACACTCCTGTGTTAATTTTTCTGAGACCAGTATCGCCGACGAGAAGGATTGTGTCCGCTTCGTTAGGCAAACAACGACTCGTTAGAGAAAAGTTTCTCATCCTGATTTGCCCTTTCCATTAATTTTTAACAAAATTTCATCGTGCAAATCTGATCTCCGGGAAATAACTTATGAGTTTTGATATATTTAAAACATCTAAATCCATATTTTTAGTCTGATCCACCTCATTAGCAATACATATGTCTACATCACGCTACATCCTGCTCGTTTTTCTGGGTACACATGTTTTGGTTTACATATTGAACACTTCTAGAGTTTTTAAAACCATTGGCAATATTATAAATTGTCTGTTTGGTAGGAACAGGACTGCATTTAAATTAAAATAAGAACAGATTTAAAATCTCTACAACAAAATTACCTTTAAAATACCATTTATTTATCTGAACTTTTTCTTGTGTACAAATAAGAGGCATTTTGAGAATTTATTTTCTTACAAACTCAACCCTATTTCTTGTTTGTTTTCTTATAAAGTCTAATACCGTGTTATCGTGTTTACTTTAACTGTTCAGAAGCCATGCCTCTCGTAGTTGCTATATTTTGGCTCTGAAAGCACGGCTATGCCTAATTCAAAATCATAAGTACTGTATATAGCTCTAGACGTCTATAAAAATAAAAAAATATGTTTTGCTACTTTCGGTATCGGAATTTCGGCCACGTTGCCTATTTATTATTTATATATAAAATTAGGTTTAAATAGGGCCTTGTTCGTCGTAATATTAAAACTGGTGTACTGTTATATTATGAAATTTTATAATCTATTTCAAGCATTGTGGCTAGTTCAATCTAATTTTGTTTACAACTTTTGCCTTTCAGCTCAAATTATTGATTCAAGTCCACAAAGCACAGGTATATATCATTTTTATAAATATATTTCTCTCAGTAATTTCTCTCAGAATTAATATGGAATCGATAATGGCTCGATCAAATCACAGCTATTCTTCTTTAATTCCTAACCAGTCTAATTTTTAGTCTTATTAACTTCAGTAGAAATTTTAATGCCTCGATAATTCTTTGGGTCCAGTTTATTCCGTTTTTAGAATTTAGGTATAATGACCCTTATGCCCTATTCATCTGTGATTTCTATGAGGGCTCTTATCTTGGTGAACTGAGCAGTATGAGTTGATTTCAGTCATATTTAATCGTTTTAATTTACAGAAATGCACAATTTTAATTGGTTGAAATTCATCTATTTTCCATTTATGAATGAATATCAAAAATTAATCCACCAAAATTTGCAAAATGATTTGGAATTAAAACAAAGTGAACGAGAAAAATAGATTGTAAAATGTGTAAGAAAATATCAAAATGTTGCAAAGCAAGTTATAATTATTTAGAGGACAACGAATACATCAGCCCTGTTGAAAAATTGACTGACAATTACAGAGTGGGCATTTATTTTGTGATATATGGTGGAAAAAGTAATAGGTTTGTCTACTGGTTCCACGTTTACTAGACAGTTTCAGCAGGTTTTTAAGTCTTGTAGGTCTGACTCTTGATTTATGTCTTTGTTTGAGTATTTAACTAGACACTATTGACTAACCTAAAATTATAATCTAAAAATCTTATGAAATATTTACTTATCTAAGAAGTCCCCATTGGACTCTATTATTTCTATAGGAAAGTATCACAAGTTGTCACGATTTATTACACTTTTTTACACTAGCACTAGCATTAACGTTTACTACACTACGTTTGAGCCTTCTGTTGAGTGTAGATTTCAGTAATTGCACCACCCCTGCATTGACGTGAAAGTAAAGTCTTTTATGTTCGCAGCAAATCTATTTCTTTTTCGACTTTTGACATCTTCAGGTATCAATGAAGATGATCGGTTCGATAGAACCAAGGTGCATCAACGATGCATCTTACAACTAAATTTTGGATAACTTCATTACAACTTAAGAAAACCAGTGCTGTTCTTTTGCAGTTATATTTTTCTTTTCTTTTCCTTTGAATATGGTTATATTTGAACCCCAGATTGTATTTTCATGGGATACTCTCTTAAATTATATCATATATCAAAAACTTGATTCTGGTACTCAAGATGAGTGGGGGGAATATTTAAACACAAAAATAATTAAACATCCAAAAACGAACATGTTAATTGAGTTTTTACAAGAACGGTGTAATATGTTAGAAAAAAAGAACAAAAAGGTTGAATCAGTAAATCGTGAGAAAAGTCTCATAGGTATGTGCAATTTAATAAACATAAGAATTTTAAAAATTATTCTCAAGAAAAACCATTGATGCACGTTAGTTTCCAAAGTGTAAATCGTAATATCCCTTGTGTTTTTTGTAAAGATGCACATTATATCTATGCATGTGATAAGTTCAAATCATTACCAGTAGCGTCTTGTTATGAGAAAGCAAAGCAATTAAAATTGTGTCTTAATTGCTTTCGTACAAATCATTTATTAAACGAATGCACATCGCAAGGCTGTAAACAATGTTCTAAGTGGCATAAACTTTTACATTTTGACAATCCTGATGAGAGAACTAAAAGTGCATTAGTCCCTAGCACTCTAACACGTTTATCTAAAAATTCAGATAGTGTACCTAGTAAAAGAAATCATTCAATTTCAAATCATTGTGCTAAACAAGAATCGCATATCTTGCTTGGTACTGCTTTAGTTTATATCCATGATAATTACAATTGGCATATTTGTCGTGCTTTAATTGACGGTGGATCTCAGACCAATTTTATAACTAAATAGTTGTATCAAAAACTGAACTTTACTATACCTTCCTATACTACAAAACACAGTTCTAGGATGGATTGTTTCAGGTCCTATTCCACTTAAGCTTTTGCCAAAACATCAACTCTTAATTTCACTTGAATCTCAGTGAGAACGGTTTTGGGAAATTGAAGAATGCTTAAAACAAAATCTTCTTTCAAATGAAGAAAAAGATTGTGAACAAATATTCACGCAAACTACAACACAAGATGAAACAAGTCGATTTGTGTTCAATCTACCAATACAGCAGAATGTAAACAAATTAGGTGATTCCGTTGAAAACGCGATTAAACGACTTCAGTCGATGGAGCAAAAATTTCAAAGTAACTTTACTTTTAAGCAGCATTACCAAGAATTTATACACGAGTATGAAACTCTGGGGCATAT